CTATCAAAAGTTATTCAAAAAATACCAACCTGCCTTTTATTTTGAAATGGGCATTACAACAGTATCGGAATTTATCTATGTCGTATGATGATTGTATTATTAATAAGAATTATATAATATTCTTGTTTATGTTATTCTTTAAATCATAGATAAATAACTACAGGTGATACTGAAATAATTATGATGTTTGTTTATAATCGTTTGATTTTAGCTCATCACTGTAATTAGAGTATCTTTAAATTTGACAGACTGCCGCATTTTATTGACAATTTTTTTTACAAAAAAGTGATCTTCATAATAAAGGGAAATATTGATGGAAGTTTTCTGGCTGAATAAATGGTACACCTTCATCATTAAGAATTTTCAATTTAGTGTAATTGAGACGTGCTGAGTCATAGATAAAACTGATTCTTACTATTGCGAATAATTCTTATTTGATGAGTGGAGTGTAAGTGTAGTTTGTCTGGTGGTGTGATTGAGAGTTCTCTTTTCATTCTCACATTCGTCTCATCCAAAATTTATCGACGAAGTCTTGATTGTACATTGAATCGTAAAGATAAATATGAAAAACTGCCAAAAAACATTAACATTTAGTTTTATATAATTCAATCCAATAGATCTGATTGCTTTTGACAAAGAATTGCATCGCTAAACAAACAATGTTAATCAAAGAGAGACAAGAATGATTCAAGCAAAGAGTAACATCTTATAATAGTAAAACAGAATTGATAAATTACTTTGATATCACTTGTCAGTTGTCTGTTGATAGCATTTTTTCCTTCCTTCTTATTCTTTAATTACTCGTGGGACGAGAACTGTTCCATTTGGTATATATAGCAAAGATTGACAACGAGTCACTACTAGATTTATTATTTTCTGTTTTCTTCACATACATAATTTATTTGACAAAAGACAATTCGCTTTGTATAACATGGGAATTTTGAAAGGTAAAGATACGGCTTTAGAACATATTGAAAAGTCAAAATTGGCTTTTCTGGCAACGTTATCCGAAGTGGAGAAGGACCTATCGACAAATGCAATGCCGCCCAAAGATCATTTCATTCTCAAATTTGATCGAAATTCGATTCGGAATTTGAAAGGACGTGTCTACGAAACTATGAAACAATATGCTTATGAACAACTAGGTTAGTTGTTTGTTTGTCCTTCGAACATGATATCATTTGAAATTCTATTGACAGGTGAAAGTATTCCGGCGTCTGTCAATACCAAAGGAATTGAAAGTGGTCTCATTAATCCTACCAAACCACCAGTACCAATTGTTGGTCGTCAATACGTCGCTTGTATTTATGATGATCTCAAACTAATCGATTGTTTGATTGAAATCGGTCCGAAAGAAGTCGACGATTTAGTTAAAACCGCCAATGCTCGACGCAAATCAGTTATTTAATCATTGCTTTTCTGCTTCATTCTCTTATTATTTTGTCTCTTTTGATTCTCTCTTCAATTGCTTGTGCTTTATATATTTACTAAATAAACAAAAATAATGAAATCAAGAGCAATGAATACTACAAAAGGTAATTAGTAGTCAATTGTACAGAACACTGACATGTCATTGTATTAGTCGCCATCGTCGTCACTCTTGTTGCTGTTGTTGCTAATTAGAACTAGACATTTTCATTTCGAAGCTGCGCAAATACGGCTACCATGTATCTACTCCTCCAGTTACAGTATATAAGTGTATGAATTCAAGCATTCTAGAGTTTGAAGGTATACATATTGACTGTATGTTTTACTAGTTGTTGAATGTAGACAGATACATATTGAAAACCTTGTAAGAAATGTGTGGGTGTAGGGTATGACTCTGGAAGTGGGCCTGCTTTTAGTCCATGCTCGCGCTTCGTGTTCAAAGAAGTCTAACACTCTTTAAACTATATACATGACTATTGTCTCGATGATCCTTACCTTGCAAACGCTGCCCAATTGAATAATCAAACTTATGTGTCATCATCTTTCTTTTTGTATTTATTTGCTCTTGCTTGACTAATTAAAATGTTGTCAACAGACAAATTAGACTAGAAAAAACAGGATATTCGGACATTTTCTATGACATTGTTCAAACTTGATCAGAGTTTGTGCACTGCTACATTTGGAATGAATATGTTCTTGCAAAAGGAGAAACCAGTTAAAACGGACATAGCGAACACGCGTTGAACTTCTCTCGATCCTGAGCGAATATAAGATATGAACAATAGAAACGGAAAAGCGCAGCTATAGAAAGACAGATCGAGCGGCACATCTAGGTATTTTGATCAAAATATAGCGAACAAAAAGAAATTAACTCTGTAAAATCTTCTCACGGACTATTGATACTCGTTACAACGGGGTGGAAGGCAAGTTTTGTCTCGAGCCTTGGAATGAGTTATATCCCAACTTATTTTCCTGTCTTAGAATTCTAGCATAAAAAGTTGATATTAAAGACAATTTGCCAATTAATATAAATAAGTATCATATAAGCTTTTGTTAGAGATTTGCATCGAACTTCAAAACCCGATTACGACTCAATCGGAGTCGAAGTTGATATAAATTACAAGAGCTCCGAAAAACCCATCTCATTCCTTTTTTATGTAGAATTATTTTTTGTACAAGTGTAACGTTTAGTTATCGAAAACTATCCATCCAATAGGAAAATATCATCAAATAGACAAATAAAACAAAAGACATCTACATTAGATTAATTTTTTAAAAGTGACTCTTCTGAAAAAAAAAAGATCAGCACCACTTAATATCTCCACTTGCGTCACTAGAGGTATTTTCATTATCTTCACGCGCTTCTTAAACCACTCTTTCACTTCATTGCTCTTATATAATTTAAAATCGAATCAAAACTTGATCTTTTTGTAAGCCTCCTCTTGATTTGACGAAATTCTTTCAATAAAACAAAATTTTTCTTAGAAGTTGTGCTTATTGATAACTTGGAGGAAATTATACCAAGCTTCATCAGTATTTGAGTTTTCTTCGGTATTAATTTAACAGATCATCTTCATTCTTCTTTTTTAGTTAAATTTAGAATTTCTTCTTGTGAACAGAGCTTAGCACTCACCACAAGTGTCTGTGATCGATAAAGAAACTTGAGGTACAATCAGTTTTTATTTTCTGTCGAGCACTCACATATCTATTCATTTGTGTTATATAATATCGTCCCATACATAAACTGTTACTAGTTGAGAGGAAAATTTTCGAAGTTTTTCGTAGGTGGAATCGATGTTAGAAAAACGTGACTTTACAAGTCTCCAGATTCTGTGCTACGACATTCTATCTTCATAACCAAGTTACAAATAAGGTGGATGGACAGCCAATCGAAGCAAGTATTTGAGTATGGGTGTCTTGTCTTTACCGGCATGCATATATTCAAACGTAAAGTCTACACCAAAATAATAACAATAATTTGTGAATACAAGACGGAGCGGGGCAGGAAGCAACAAACGTCCACGTTTCGGTTTCTGGTAGAAGATGTCACAAGAAACATGTATTTCGGCTCTGGTCCTATTAGAAGCATATTGATTGAGTGTAAGCTTAAGGGTGTGAGTGTGGGTGTTAGTACTAATTTCACATCCACACTCTCCGCACCCGCACTCCGCATCCGCGCGAACGGTGCACATCTTTGGTACATGTTCAATCTGATTATTTCTCCCTTTTGAACTATTTTAGTAATTTATGAACGTCGAGAAATAAGAAAGCCAATATCTGCAAATAGTAAATCTTAAATGCATACAATCATTTTCATATATAAATCAAGTACTAATATATTTCCCACAGTTTTCTTTTACTAGACGTAACCTTCAGATGCTAAGTAATATGATCATGTTTATTCTGTGTACAGTGAATCATAATATTTATTGAGATATTGCTTCCAAAGTAACTAATATCCTTTCACAGGCGGGTCTGAATGAGAATATTCTCTGAAAATATACCCATACCCACACCCTCAAGAAGACATTGACCATCGTCGAATGTCCTTTCAGTTAATGAGCAACATCACAATAGACAATGGAAAAAACAATTTTTCTCGGATAAATCACCAAGTATCTAATTAGTTTTGTAGAATCATTGATAGCCAATTGTAATTCTGTGCCATTCATATATAGATTTTAATGTTAACGCATCAATCAAACAATTATTCTAACATTAGAAATTATATAGAAGCCAAATAAAAATTATGACTAAAAAAAATTAAATTTATTTTCTAAATCATTCTCATTCATTAATAAAAGTAACTATACAAAAAATTTAGTAATGAGGTGTAAATAAAAGTGAAAAGAAAATCTGACAAAAACGCTGAAAAACATAGAAAAAAATGCAACTTGTGACATGCAAACGATAAAACGAAAAACGATTTGTTTTAAACTATTTGTTTGAGTACGTTTGAAAATAAATGAACATATCAGTTGAAGAGGAAATTTTTCATAGAAATGGACTATCAATATGTACAGGTTGGAGAAATGTAATTGATTGCAATAAATTATTTGAATCTTTATTATATCTGAGATAAAGTTGAAAAAGAAGTCGATATAAAGTTCTTTGATTTCCTGTAAGAAGATCATTAATTCGACAATATTGTTCAATATCAATTCCAGCTGAAACAAAAATGAATTCATAAAAACTTATGTTTCATCTAACGAGAGAAGTTTTCCAATTGATAAATTGCTTTTGAACCTTTCTGTCATATAGATTCAAATGAACTATGAATACATTGAGAAGACCTCGAACCTTTAGTTTATTACTGTGGATTAACCACATTCTAACAGTGTCGCTTAAATAAATGCCATGCCTCTCAGCCGGAACACAAAAAAAGCTTATTTTCAAATTTCTACTTGAAACTTTGCATAGAGACAAACCATAACAAGATTAGGTTTTAATAAATGTTTCAAATCTTGTTGCTATTTCTGTCCTAAGATACAGCTATGGTAATAGCTTGTCTTACACGACACTCATATGAACTGGCAGATTTAATGTTTGTATCTCAGAATAGAAGCAACTCAAGAGACCGAGGAATTTTCGAATAAGAGAGCTGTCTCTATACAAAGTCTCAAGTCGAAATCTGACAATCAATTTTTCGGAGTCAGGACATTAATTTAAGAAATACCGTCAAAGTGCAGGATCTTTGCAGCAATAAGCTAAAGACATGAACTATTTTCATGGTATTCATAGCTCATTTGGGTCTATATAATATGCATAGTCTCAATTTATTAGTTGAAGGAATTTCCTAGTAAGTAATTCTCTTTATTTTACCTTGATTCATAAGTTGAAAAGCTAATTGAATATTAGCATATGATTGGTCACGTGATAATGGTTTTTTATGTTGATATTTATTAAGTATAATAAAATAATTTTCAAGATTAGACATTAAATAAAGTAAATTTAATCCATCTTGAAAGTATTGTATATCAATTTGTTTTATATGTATGTTATAACGATTTAATTGATTATTTATAAAATTTAATAATATTTTTTCAACATTACCTAATTTATCTGGTGCTAAATCAAATAAAGTATCGATAAGATCACCTTGTTTTTTAGATGCTTCCTAAATGATAACAAAATTAAATATAAACTCTAGATAAGATGTGTCAAAAGTTTGCTCAAAAATAAAACATGAAAATAACTATTGGACAAGTCAATCAATTTCGACGAACTTTTCACCGTTTCATGACGCATACTCGAAAGTTTTGAAAACTCAGACTGTAGAGCATCAATCAGATTTTTGAGTAATGTACAATAATTACTTGAGCAAAGTCAACAAAATGAAACCGTCTATTGGAAATCTACCGACATAAAGAGTTCAAGACGTCACAGAAGTTCGTTCAACATTACAAATAAAAGAATATTGATTTCTAATAGAAATCTTCACTATTTCAAATGATTGCGAGATATATCAGTTTCGGGACAATATTTCCAATAAAAGATAGATTGGAAGAGATGGTCTAATTTAATGAGTTTTACAATTCACTAGACTTTAGCTCACTCGATGTTCTTCTATCAAGATATGTGAACAATATCTCATTAAGGATCTGGAGGAAAGGTGATTTAATTTCAAAAAAAAACATTCTAGAGTGTACTTTTCAACATTTTGAAAAAGATGGATTTATGTATTTCTGTCGATGATGATCATATCGAACATCTGTTACAAAGAAAGTTATATGAAATAAAACTTTAGACAATATTCTATCACATGGTAAAAGAGCCGTCAGAGGTAATTGAGTTCTTGAAAAGTAAGACACGTTTAGTTCTTTTTAAGCAAAGTTTTAAAGCACCGTGTCGTAGGATACAAAAGAAAATTTCATTTGGCATACATCTTCTTCAAGAATCTAACTTCGAAGTTGTATTTAATTTAATGTGAGAGTAAAATGGCAACACATCTTTGAAGATCATGTTAGATTTTTCAGAGTTTTTAAAAATCGCCACTCCGAACTGGAAGATCTCGACATAACACTGCTTCGAAGTGCACTCGAACATTTGCTTTTTAAGAGTTTCTGAGCTTCAAAAAGTCAACTGTGTTTATCAAGAGTTGAAGGATGATCTTTTATTGACGCATCAATCAATCAGGTACCTTATATTTCTAGATTGTAATAGGAACGAACACTTTCATGTAATGAAGTCTTCCTGACGTTCAATAAAAAAAAAATACAATATGGGATCAATCTTTGAGCAACTTTCATTCAGTTGAAACCATTTAGTTCTACATGAATATGCTTAGCCCAAAAAGAAACTCCACAGCGAGAAGTTTAGAGAGATCTTTACACAAATATTTCATATGTAAATTTGTTAATGTTAATTAATTAAATGGTTTCAATCAGTAGAAATAATTGTTTAGGATTGTATTTTATTTTGGTTTTTTACTTACTGATGTTAATCCTCTTTCTTGATCATCAATAAAACATTCATTAATAATTCTTGTTTGTAATAAACCATTTGTTTTTTTAACAACAATTACTTTTAAAAGTAAATTTTTTGGTAAATCATAACGTGATTTTATATTAAAAAATTTCATAACACTTAAAAGTAAATGTAATATAGCAATAAAATCTCGATTATAAATTTGTTCTAATGTCCATTTAATTGGTTGATTTTGTTGATTGAAACACGTTTCAAGATAATTAAGAACACGTTCAAGTGTCTTCTTTTTTGATTCTTCTGATAATGGTATATCATGATGAAGTAATCGAATATTTGGTTGATAATATTCAATAAGTTTTCCAAGTATATAACCATCATATAGATCATCTTCAAATGATCGAATTATAATTGATTCTTTACTTAAACTTGTATTAAGCCAATTAAATAAAACATTTATTGTTTGTTTAAAATTAGGATTATTATATGAATTTGGTTCAAGCATTGAACGTTCATCGCCTTCATCTAATAAATATGATTCAGGATCAATATTAAAAAGTGGATAAGTTCCTCCTTCATTTATGTGTTGTTGTTGTTGTTCATTGGATGTTGGCGAAAGATTAAGTGAACTAATACCTTCTTGTAGAATTTTAGTAGCTTCATGTCGTTTTTGTTGACGACGTTTTAATGTATTTGAAAGAAATGATGAACTTTCAGTTGTACTTGACATTTAAATATCTAGCAAAACAAATAAATATACATTGTTTGATGTATTCGATACATGCAAAACAACGAAGTTTTGGTTTTTTTTTAATATAAATCAAAAAAAGAAAAGAATAAGTCAATATTCACTGCACACAGATAAAAAAAAAGAAACAAACTTTAGATAATTGCTCTTTCAGATTATAAATGCAAACAAATCTTAAGAAAAAATGACTTTTTCGTCGACTAGTAGAAAACAAAAAGAAAACAAGCCTATAAAATTGAGTATAAATAGCACCAATAGGTGTATTCAAGAAAAAAACAAGTTAACAACTGCAAAAACAGCACACAAACACACAATAATTCTGAAAAATGACTAAATAATACTTTTGTACTTTGATTTCTTCATGGATCAATAAACGAAATCATAATATATCGTCTTCCTTTTATTACTGGTAAACCTTCATGTAAATGAGTTAAACGCCCTGGATGCATCAATGCCCAACCACGACGTGTTGCATCTACTGTACAATTATAACGAAGAAATCGACAACCACCACCCTTTAAAATAAAAAGTTTTTAAAAAAACTTCTTTTTTTAAATCTATTTACTTCATAATCTTTTCCAACATCATTTAATGCTATATTAATTGTATATGTTGATGCATCATGATGTGGTCGAAGCTTATTTTGATATTCAGGCATATATCGAACAACAAAATTAAGCAATGCTTTTGGAGGCTATTTTTATTTAAAAAAAAAACAGAACTTTATTTTAGAAACTAATATTGATATTAAACTTACATCACTATAATAACCAGTATAGACTTTTTGTTGTATTGGTTGAATAAATTCTCGTAGAAAAAATAACCAATGTTCATTATAATCTACTTGTGTCATATGAATATCGTCTGTAGGAACATTTTCATAACCACCTGCTAAACGTCGATCCTTAATAGAATAATTGAAAATATGTTTTGCCTTTTCTTTCTTGAATCTTTATTTTAAACTTACAGCATGAGATGATCCAGACCACTGATTAAATTTTTCCATGAGATCAATTAAATCTTGAGTAAATTCATTTGTTACTACTGGAAACCAAAATACATCTGGACATGGCTTGAATAAAAGAAAACAATACAAGAAATACAAACATGTATTCGATTTACTTGTTGAAATGTGGCATTTGGTTGAAGAGATTTATAATAATCAGGATGAATATAACGATCTTTCCAATCCTTTTAAAAAGAAAAAGTAAAAATTTAACAAGAATTAGACTTATAATTTATATTTATATAAACTTACTTTAAAATTATTAAAAACTTCATAAAGTTCAGGTAGAATTAATGAAATATTAAAATTATCTGGATCAATTAAATGACCATAATTAATTTCATTATTTAAATATATAAAATATCCCTATGTTTTTTTAAATAAACAAATAAATAATCAATATATATATAGATTACGGCACGAACATTCTGACACAAAATATTCGCTCATTTTTTTGGTTACTAGAAGACAACTGGTAAAAACCAGAATCAAAAGCTAAGATCTTCCAGCATCTCTTTTCTGGTATTCGTTTGAAGATTTTGTAAACGATTTAAATTTACCGAACAAAATGAGATGTCTCATGTCTCTTTGTGAACTTCATTCCTCATAATTCATTCAATTTATAGAAGATTCCAAAGCGTCAAATATGACATTCTCATATAAGCACTTGTATTGAAGTTTTTAGGTTCATCAATCCTGATAGAAGATCTTTTCAGCTACTCAAACGTTTTTTCAGATTCTTTCTAGCTATTATTATCGAGAAGGAAATTCAAAAATACAACTGTTCTAAACTTTTCGTTGCCACTACATGCTCAGATTTTCCTTCGCGAATAAGATTGAAAAAATATCAGTATATCTTGTAAAAAATATAGGGCCAAAACCTTATCTATACAAAGTATAAAGTAGCTGTTTTGGCGCAGTCTATAACTTGTACAAAAGTTTAAAGATCTTTCATATGAAAGTAAGTTCCATTCTTTATATAGACAAGGAATTTGTTTTACATTTAGAATTTAATAGGTTTCAATCGAAATACAAAATTGATCCAGAATAGTATTTTGTGCAACCACCAGGTTGGATCTTCTGAGACAATATTACTCTAGAAGAAGATTCTGAAAACATATTCGGAAAGAGTCAGATGCTAACTATCTACTTTTAGCTCTAATCACTTGTCTTTAAGTAACCGAAAAAACGAATAAATTGTTCGCACTATTGCTTCTACTTACAGTATCTCTCAATGATTGACTAAACTTCACATCTGGATCGATAGTTGCATCGATGTATTTCGGTGTAAAACTTTTTAGAAATGTTCCATTTAATAAATAACAATGAGCAACATGTGGTACATTAAATAAACCTCTGAATAAAGAAAAAAAGGATTAAATTATACTAAAAAAACTATTGGCATACGTTTTATTATAATTAATAATATCCATATAATCAGGTGATCGTTTATAAAATCCGTTTTCTGTATAATCTCCCCAAAAATTACTCCATGTTTTTTCTGGTCTTAAAAGCATTGGTGAAACAATTGTTCGATTAAGTGAAATTAATTTAACTAATGTATCAGGATTATCAATATGAACTATTGAATCAATTACAAATAAATAATCACATTTATCTTCTTGACATTCAGTGCTAAAAGAATATATTCAAGATTTTATTTAGTTGAAAATCAAAAAAAGTAAGAATTTGAAACATACATTGCTTGTTGTCGAGCTTCACCTTCAGTTATATCATCATTATAATTGAAATATTTAATAAATTTATATTCATTGTCTTTGAATTTAGTCATATATTTTTCTGTTAAATTTTTATGATATTCAACCTGTAAGAAAAGAAACACAAGGATGTTTAGAAAAAAAAAATCGATATCTTTTTTAATCAGTTTATCGTATTAGCAATATGACTCTTATTCAAATTTAATTTTTCATGAAAATCTATCTTTTCAAGTGTCTTCTTCAACTATAAAATATACGAAAACAAAAAGATTTCAGATCATCATTCAATGACTATGCAAACATATAAAGTGTTTACTATTCGTTACTATGCACTAAAGTGTTGAATAAAAAAACCTCTAGGATAAGAGTGACAACAACACACACATCCAAATAAAATTGAGCCTCTAATCGAATCAGTAAACTCATATGTATATCTCTGTAAAACCTTCAAGCAGTATGATATAAAGTTACAATGAGAAAAATCTAGAAGAGGATTAGAGTAAAATTTGAAAGTGCTAAACCACTTATCCAGAAGAGAAAATCTAAATATATGGTACAATAAAAGTTTATTTTACACATTTCTTCTATAGAGATCATCTTTTATTTTTGAATGTCTTACTTGATTATGAATAAAAATAGCCAAACGTTGTTTCGGATAATTAAGATTCAAAATTTTTTCAAAATATTCTCGAAGAAATGGTGTTGGATATTCAATAAATATTGCAATATAAACTAATGGCCATTGTTGTTGCTAAATAGATAAAAAAAAATTTAAAGTTCATGAAAATAATGAAGAAAACATACATTTTCAATTTTAGTTAAATCTATAACATTTTCTTTACATTGTAAACATCCAGAAGTCGGCGACCATACACGAGCGATATAATTACTTAAATAATTCAACGTTCTCTATAAAAAAAAACGAAAGCATAAACGCATAAAAAAAAAAAAAACTTGAAGAACTCGTATTCTACTTTAGCTGGTCCATTGCCATGTATAACAATTGGATTTGAATCTGTCCATGAATTATAAACATAAATTTCATCATTACGAACTGGTAATTCAATTTCATCAGCAGCACCATTTAAATTCATAAAAATATCTGCTCGTTTATCAAGTACAATCGACCATTTTGTCTAAATTAAAATTTTAAAATTTTTATATATCGAATTTTGTATTTTACTCGTGTAGTTTCATCAAGAAAAATTTTTGTATAAAATAATTGATCATCTTCATCATCATCTATGTTTTCTTTACTTGAAATTATTTCATAAATATCCGATGCATAACCAATAAAACCACCTGAATTTAAAAAACGCTTTTCATTACTTTCAACCAATGGATAATCATACTGAAATCATTCAGAATTTCTTTCATATATAAAAAAGAGAAAAAAATATATTTCAATTTTACTTGTAAATTTTGATCTGGCCAACAAAAATCTTCTGCACCAAAAACAACTCGTGCTGGTTTTAATTTTTCAAATTTATCAAGTAAAACTTCAGGTGATTGAGTAAATATAACATCATATGCATCAGAAAAAAGTATTAATTTTGTTTTATCATCTTTATACCGAACTAAGTTTTCTCGAAGAATATTTATTTTTTGTCCACCACCAGATGTATATTTTATATTACCACCTTTCCATGGTTGACCAAGTCCATAAATCTAAGTAAATATACATAAGAATATGAAATGTATTCATTAACATCAAATATACACGTACTGGATAAGCTTGTTTTCTTTTCATACACCTCCGCTTTTTATCCAGTTTTTCTCTTCTAAAGAGGCAGCGTCCTCTCTTTTTTTTTTACTCCGCCTGAGAAAATTTTTCATATCCTTAATCTATTCTAGTCAGATTATAGAGGTTTTTTTTTTATTACAGAACATTAAAATATAATTTTTTCGTCAACAATGTCATCACTTAAACTTTATAGTCCTTTGGAAAAAGAATAGGATCAGCTCTCAGTTCAGTTCGTGAAGCTGAACTGTCCGAGAATATTTGTTCTGTTTTGGAAGTAGCATATCGAAGGTTCGAATCTTTATTCAGTTCACTCAGTGTTTGTCACTTGGAACTTTCGTTTGATTTATATCATACAAAAAGATCCCTATTAAAAACCTGCCACATAACATCGAATATCTATATCCTACTGGATCTATTACGAATACACTATGCTTTCAGCGAGTTTATTTTACAAAACTCTATTTGAGAGACTTGCCAGTTCCGCAGAATATTCTCTTATTGATAGATCAACAATGTAAGCCTCTTTTCCAAATCTTTAACCTACTGTATATGTAGAACAATGCTACAGACTCTAATGTATCATAAAATACATAAAACATTTGCAGACCCCGTGCAAGCGGGGGCGTAGGAAAGTGTACACTCTCCCCTCCCCCCATAATTAAAAATTTTCAGTTTTCTCCAGTCACAAGAGTCGATTTCAACCTAAACTTTACGATTTTTTTTGCAAGTTTTTCCTGAAAACACTCGTTTACACCCCCTCCTAATAATAGATCCTTCGCACGGGTACTGAACATTTGGCAAAGATCATAGAGCTGTTTTGAAATTCACATTTCAGCTCCTATTGACACGAATACACATAATTTATGGAGGACATCTCTTTGCATACTATAAAGTTTTATGGAACTATTATTATTCATACCTCATATTTATATCCATAAATATTTAATGAACGAATAAAACGATGATAACCATCTGTCTCATCTGTGGCAACCGCAACGACAAGTAAATCATCTAAATCATAAATATTTTATATAATTTAAATAATTGATTAGCTTTAAAAGCATTACCTTTACTAATAGCACGAATTGGATAAGAAAACCCTACTAATAATAGAACAAATAATTGTTCTATCATTTTCTCAGAAGTAACACACGAAAAAATTTTGTTCGGTTATTGGGATGTTGCAGTACCCGTAGATAATTATCTATTTTTAGGCATAATCAATCAATCGCTACAATCTACTTTAAAATTCTTTCATCTACTCATTATTTCGAACTTCTAAAAATTTCTTATATTTAAATGTCTATAAAAAATTTCATTAATTAATATTTTTAATAGAATCTCTATCAAGATGCATAAATGCATTAAAAAACAAGATTTCGTAATCATCATAGAGAATATGTCGTTGTTATTCATTCATTCATTGATTTATTTCCATTTGTCAAAAAAAAACACTCTTATTGACGTTCATTGTTTTTTTTAGAGCGACAATATTTAACCGTCATTTGCTTTATTTCTTTTATATTCAAATTAATTAACAATGAGTGATAGTTCAGATCAGCAACAACAACAACAACAACAATTAGAACAATTAAAATTAGAAACTTCACAACAACCAACAAATGATAAATTATGGACCGACCAAGGAATTAATGAAAACATTGTACAAAAACTTCGTTTATGTATTGAAAACGGTATAAAAAAAAATAAGAATATCTATAATAAATATAATTTTAATTTCTATTATTTAGGTAAATTAACTTCATCAGATATTGATAGTCGTGTATGTGAACAATTACGTTCATTTCCTACTGATGCAACAAGTATTGATTCTTTATTTACTGAATTTAATAATTCGGATTTAACTGGTGTTGTTAATAAAAGTGCTTTTTTATGTAATTTAATTAAACAATGGAAAATTCGACATCCACAAGAACAAAAATCTTCAAATAATAATTCACAATCAACACAAGGCGCAGATGATCATGAAAGTACATCTGGTAAACATAAACCAGGTCCAGATGAAGCTAAACTTAAAGTAGAAATCTCTAAATTGATGTGCAATATATAAAATGCTTTTCTTTGATAGCAAATTCTCGATCGAACAGGATATAAAATGGATATAACTGCTGGTCAACGTAAGTATGGTGGTCCACCACCCGATGGTCCTGAACGACCAGCTGCAAATAGTGAAGTATGTTAGATGAAATTTATTTTTCTTTTCATTACCTCGATTGTTATAAAGGTTTTTATTGGTAAAATTCCACGTGAAGTATTTGAAGATGAACTCATTCCAATATGTGAAGAGGCTGGAAAAATTTGGGATTTACGTTTAATGATTGATCCAGTATCTGGCTTTAATAAAGGTTATTGTTTTGTTACATTCTGTTCTTCAAATGATTCCGTTAAAGCATGTGAACGAGTAAATTTAATTTGTTTTATTAAATATACGAATTTTTCTGAAACAAATACGTTTATAGCTTAATGGTTATGCTATCCGTCCAGGAAAACTTTTAAAAGCAAATGGTAGTGTTGCTAATCTTCGTTTATTTATTGGTAATATACCAAAAACAAAGTCAAAAGAAGAAATTCATGAAGAATTATCAAAAGTTGTTGGTAAGATATTATAAGGAAATAATTCTGTTTTTGTTATATTGAAGTATTGGTTTATTTAGAGGGTGTAACAAATGTGATTATTTATACACCGGCTGATGAAGCTGATAAGAAAAAAAATCGTGGATTTTGCTTTGTGGATTTCGATACACATAAAAATGCATCTGTAGCAAAACGAAAATTAGGAAATGCTCGTGTTCGAGTAAGAAAAATATAAAATGATCAACTTTCTGATAATCAGACTTATTCATGATTTGCTTGTTGACTACGAATATATGGCTATACTAGCTTTTTTGTTGCTAAGGACGAATTTTTTCCTTTCTCAATCGCTTGGTTAACATAGTAGCTGTTCACTTATGCCATTTTCTAGTCCTTTTCGCTTTTTTGAAACGATGCTTAATAGAAAAAGGAAAAACAAAAAAAATGTTTCAATAGGACTAGCCGTTTTTGGTTTTCTGTTCGAAATCATTAATGCATGGTACTAGCGAAAAGTGCTATATGATTCTCTAGCAGTGTTACTAAGTTCGAGATATCCAGCAGAACCTCTCTTTTGATGATTCATTACTTTTTTAATTCAGTAAAACTTCATTTATGTATTGGACAACTATGTTGTTTATAAGCAGTGGCGGATTTAGGGGGGGGGGGGGCGCTTGGGGCGATCGCCCCCATTCGAAAAAAAGAATTTCGATTTTTCCCAGCAGAAAAGACTTAAAAATAGAGTGCATACTACTACTAATGAACTTCAAAACTCGATTTTTGGTCAAAATCGCCCCATATCTATCAAATCGCCCCTTATCAAAAAAATCCTAGATCCGCCGCTGTTTATAAGTAAATAGCATTAATTTTACTATGAATATTGTAACAGGAAATATTGAAGTGATTGCTACTCAGTAATTTTCGTATAAACTTTTAAAACACATTAGTCGTGACAAAATGATATTTGGTCCTTGTGAGATCGGAATCATCCTGTCGATATCTAACAGCAAGTTAAATGGTCAGTAGAATAATTCTTTGGATATGAAATACTTCTTTTGTTTACAATGATGCTTGAGTACTAATATTAAGAATCTTATAAACTTTCAAATGAAAACAAAACAATGATCATTTAACAACAAAAATTTATTTAAAGAAATATTTTTATCTTTCATTGCGATGGTAATGAGATATAACCATGAGTGTAGTTTCTCACGCGATAAAGAACGTCATAGATGAATAATTTCGACCCTAGCCAGACTATTGAAAAGATAGATAAAAGTAAATGCAGCATAAGCTAGTATAACGACTTTTCAATATATGTTCGTCTTCAATATGCAAATCGTGAATAATTCTCATTGAAAATATAAATCTAGGTATTCAATCGTGATATTGCTGTTGATTGGGCTGATCCCGATGAAGAACCTGATGATGATACAATGTCACAAGTTAAAGTTTTATATGTACGAAATTTAACATCAGATGTATCAGAAAATGATGTAAAAGATGTATTTCTGCCCTATGGTAATATTGAGCGTGTACGAAAAGTTCGAGTAAGTTTTTCATATCTGTGAAATTACACAAAAGAAAAACATTTTCACATAAAATAGGATTATGCATTTGTTCACTTTGATAAACGTGAAGATGCATTAAATGCAATGCGTGCACTTAATGGAAAAGTAAATTGAATATAAATTAAAATTTTTTTGAATTTTATTTATAACTTTGTGTAGAGCCTTGGTCGTAATATAATGGAAATTAGTTTAGCTAAACCATTGAGTGATAAACGTAAACACGCTCAATCCAAACGTGAACAACGAAAAACTTTTGATCCACCATTTAATTCTCGTGAAGGTTTTGATGATAATTTGTCGGAAGGAAATAATAGAGGACCAATGTCAGGTGGTTTTGGAAAGAATTCACAGCGTAATGTTATGAATCTACCGGATGATTCATTCAGTTAGTTTAGAAAAATGTATAAAAATTTCATACATTTTACATTTTGTTAATAGATGTTAATAAATTTGGAGCTTTTGCTGGACATAGTCCAACAGATAGTGGCCCGATGCGAGGAGGACCATCAAATCGTGGCGGTGGTAGTGGTGTAAGTGATAGAAATTGAATGATTTATTGTTTTTATGAATGATATTTTTGTTAATTCAGCGAGGTAGTGGTCCATCAGGTGGCAATCGAGGTGGATTCGGAAACAATCGAGGTGGTGGATTTAATACAGGTAATCGTGGTGGAGGTGGTAATTTTAATCAAAGTAATCGTGGTGGTTTTAATAATAATTTCCGTGGAGGTTTTGATGGCCCATCACAATATGTAAGTAAAAACAAACAGTTTTTCCTTGTATCTTATGTTTTTCTTTCTCGAAGAATAATCCTGGTGGATTCAATAATGGTCCGAATAATCAAGGTAACTGAGGCAAAGCTTTTTATTTTAACCGGTGACGGAAAAAGTTCTGTATTAAAGTATTGCGTTCAAAATACTTACCGAAGGCAAAAAAATCTTTGATAGGTAAAAGTGTACATGTCTAATAAGTAATTTCCAAAAATTAGAGGTTTTTCCCAGCAATTGAACTTAGTCAAATTTCACATTTTATGTTCTATTAAAGCTTTTGACAAAAGTACATAATATGAGAGATTATGAGAAAAAGTTCATTTGATATTGCCAAGAGTAAAACAAGTCTTTAATTAAACTTTCCTACAACATCTATAGTTTTATAACGGGAATATTTTAATATGACTAGAAAGTCGAATGCAATTGCAGATAGCACTCGTCCGATCCGACTCTAAAAAAATTTGAGTCTTCGAGTACGTGTCTGAAAATTTCATAGTCGGTGGGCTTCAGTTGTAAGTGACGTCACTGGCAAAGCATTGAAACTTTTCAGCCTTCGGGAAGTATTTTGAAGGAAATATGTTTACAAAGCTTTGATCTTTGTAACAAGAAAACTATTCAGTCTCTGCGAAACATATTGTCACGATATACTCGGAAAAAGATTAGTGCTGCGCTTTTATGCTAGCCGTTATATAGATATATTGATTGTTTTTTGTTGTAGGTGATTTCGGTGCCTTTAGTGGTCCACCACAAAATAATAATAGTGCTCAATATGGTCGAATGGGTATGAATAATAGTGGTTTTGGTATGAATCCAATGCAACAAAATCGACAATATGGAGGTATGAAACGACCTTCAAATCAAATGAACGATGGTATGACGTCTAAACGTGGTCGTCCTAATACTGGATCATGGGGTTCGATGGGTGGTGATGGTAATGATGGTCCAAATAATATGAACAAAGGTGGCTCACAACAAAATGCTCGTGGTAATTGGTATCAAGATCAAGGTTACAATTCACAGCAACAGTCCAGTTATAGCTGGAACTAAGATTTGCTGTTAGATAAAATCAATGTGTGTGAGAGGTGAACATTTAAAAAGACAGTGGGCAAAAAAAAGAAAGAAACACAAATTATATCCTATGAAATTATTTTTTCTTTTATTCCTAATTCAGAAAAAAAACGAACTGAACACAATCTCAAAAAAAA